GAGTGTCAAATGATGAATAATAACTACTCATCAATTACCGTTATATTCATCACTGCGATTGTATAACGAAACATTCATATTTATATAATCCACGTACTAGTTCAGTTAGATGAAACTTTTATATTTTATATGATATGGATAGGTTTTTGCTTTTTTGAAAATAAGAGCACTGTCATCAGACGAGAAAAGAAGTATTTCTTCTTCGATTTGTTCGAGTACACTTGATCGTGTTTTCTTCGTTAATGGTTCCTGTGTCTTAGGAAAGGCAAAAAGAGTCTTTCTCTTTAAAGTAACGCTTGTATTGTTACTTGCGACGACAAGAGGTGCTTCAACTACGGTTTCAGCCTTTTCTTTACTATCTGAACCTTGTAATTGTAAAGCTGCATTTGCAATCAATCGCTTAATTGTCTCACATAGACAAGACTTTGTTTCATCTTGTAATTTCGAATGTATAATCCATCGGTCACCAAAGCGAGCATCCAAGAATGGGGCCATGATAAAGAGCGAGTCTGAGTAGAGTTCAGATGTTGACCGAGTCTTGCTTGTAATATCAAGTGGTAATCCTAATTGCTTGAGCAATCCTCCAAATCGTTCTTGTATTGATTTAAGAAGTGCTTTGCATAGACCACTAGCATACTTCAATGTAGCTTGCTCTGATTCAAGATCGAAGTAAATCTCGAGCAAGGACGGAGCAACCAGAGAAATTGAAGCAGCCTCGTCTGCTTGCGCTTTGGTAAAGGCTTCCGCAAATAATGCAAACACAGAAATGAATTCATTGAGAACAGTAATATCACGTTGTGATAGAATCAATGAATCCTTCTTTAATTGTCGCAAGTAATCATTCAGTTTATCGGATGGAATTTCGATTGTTTTCGCCACTGTACAGTATTGGCTGTTCCATCTAGTGATCACGGCTACTGGAATGCTGAAACCATCTTGTTCTAGCTTTTCTGCCATAACTATACTTTTATGACTAAAAATGAAGAATAGCAATGTTGGTAATGATTCGTTAGTCCTCTTAACTTTTATGCAGCACTTCTCTCTTTATTCGAGTTTAGATCCGTCTTCTCACAACACCTGATATGCAAAATCTTTTATGAAACTCAGAAAATCAAACAAAAAACAGCGTTAAATATGTCGAGATTAAGATTTTTATTTGAGTGAAACTTCGATTGAATTCGAACTCGAATTTTAATTAGGTTTAATAATAACATCGGAATTCAAAGTTTGAGTGAATTTGTTTATGTGCTTTGTTTTTATCTTTACTTAGTAATGTAACATATATGAATCTTACCTGAATTTAGCTATACTTGATACCTTCGAAATAGCCGCCTTTATACAAAAACTTTCTTTGAGGCCATCGGATACTACCAACTGCAACGTGTGAATATAACAGGGGAGTCGCAGAAGTTCTTCACTCACAAATAAGGTATCACACCAATCATTAATTTCGTTTGAATTTGTCTCTCTGTCATCTCCAATCCTCTCTTCTTCTTCCTCATCTTCTTCATCAGAACGTTCATCTGAAGATTCTTCGAAGTATGGTTCGAAGCCAGGCACGATAAGAGAGCCAAAAGCTTTGATATTGTTGCTGGCATTGTCGGTTACTAGTCGTACAACTTTTTGTTCAATGTCATACTGCGCCATGATTGCTTCATATTCTTTCAATAATTTGTCGCCAGTATGACTACCTAAACAAAAATATGTGACATATTTTTTCGAATATACTTGATCAATGATCTTATCTGCAAAAAATATAAAGAAAACCGACGTATATTAGGCTTATATTAGTGTCGTGTAATAAAAAAAAGCGTCAATAGTTTACTCATTTTTTCTTAAATTATCAAATAGTAAACATTCAAAAGTATGGAACACATAGTGAGCTGAAAAAAATCTTTTTTGTCCCGCGCAGTCATATAGTATTTTGAATGATAAATTCTAATCAAGTAATTGGACATTATATTATGTCCTTTTTAGAAGTGATTGTTACCTAAAGATTGCCTGAGAGATCGATGTCTTATAATTGATTTCTATGTAGATTTAACAGTCGATTTTTTGGTGTAGAAAAATGAAAATTTATGTCATATTTTCAGCACACAAGATAGAAAAAGAAAGTTTGAGTACATTATATGAAAAACGTACCTGAAAGGTATTTAAATGCCAATAGGTACGATTTGAATAGACATTGTTCAATTAGATGAATTGTAATTCCATAAAAACATCGCATTCTTCTGTCGGTCCAGGTATCAATTGTCACTGAAACAAACGATTTGATTGCAGATACGCTTCAGTTCACTTTCGACCTTTTCGACAGTCTTTGGTAAAACATCACGGCATATAGAACGTCGAGATGGAACGACAAACTTTGGATCAACAGTATGCATTGCTCGAAGAAATTCAGGTCGCTCGACAATTGACAGTGGTAATACGAGACCAATAATCAGATCATTTGTTACCATTTTAGACAATTGTATTTGTCGAGGATGACCACTTGTGTATTTTGTGCCACGAGGACTGTTCATAGCATCCTTGATCGATGGCTGTTTTGATTGTATCTTTTCTTCTTTTGTAGCCAATGCCATTGTCCATGTATTATAAGCATCACCGTGATTACGTTTTACGTGACGCACAAAGTTGAAAGTTGAGTCACCAGACTTCTTTACTGTACTTTTGCATAGTAAACACACAGCTGATTTGGTCTCAGTGTTATAACTGATGAAGAATTGTGCCAAGCAAGTGGGTGCGATTTTAGTGTCATCGTACTGAATCGATTTGTCCTTGATAGTAGAATCAGAAGCGATAGTTGAATCGTGAACGATAACATCATCAATCACAATTGGTGTACAGTCGGATTGATCGTCGGGATCAGAGATCATCGTTAGTAAATGGTTAATGAAAAATATGTTAGTTCAGAATATGATCAAATATGTTATTGCTGTTAGATGCGCGAAAACGTTGATGTGCATAAATAATGTGTGTGATGTGAATAGCTAATATTTATATGTGAAATTCAGGCAACAGTTTGAATATACCTAAGTTGTCATAAGACGGAAAGAAGGAAAAAGTCAAGAGAAAACAATACGAAAATACTTGACAGAAAGAAATTATCATCTGATCGACGATCGAGAGTTAGCCACTTGTAACAAAAGAAAGATGTAGATATTACCGATACATATATATGTAAACAAAGAAATAGAGCGAATATATGTGGAAAATGTCAGCATTGTCAGCTCACCCACATTGTTAACAGAACGAGAAAAATTCGGAGCCGGCAAACAGTTCTCGGCTCCGACTCCGGCTCCGATTACAATAATCGTCAAATACGGCTCCAATCGCAGTATTTGACGCCCCGGCTCCGACTCCAACTCCGGCTCCAGGTCCAATATTTTCCGTCCGGCTCCGGCTCCGTTTATAAGAGAAGCCGGCTCCTAGGAGCCGGGCTGGAGTCGGTCGGCTCCGGAGCCGACGCTGCCCATCTCTGCTCGAAGTATACTAGTAACTGTAATGTATAGATTTCACCAGAGAAGAAAAACAAAATGCATAATTTCAATGTCCAGAAGGTGTTTCATAAGAAAGTAGAAAGAAGAATTTTTTGCCAAACAGCAGAATGTTGTGTCCTCCTACTCTGGTTTTAACCCGATAACATATATATAAAAGACAATGTTTCCTCTTTTGAAAAAACAGTGATCTGTTGGGCTAGAATGCTTGATGGTTAAGACAGTAATTGCATATGAACGCATGTCAGCATTTGAACGCATATTATGCCGTGAATATTGTAGCAGTGTATTTCTTAAACATGCCGAAATATCGACATACGCTAAAGATCCAATTACTATACAGATACTTTGATATACGCATTTTTCATATCTCCACAAGTGTTGCGTAAAAACAGAAAGAGATAGGAAAATTCCGTGATGAAGCAAGGGTTGCGTAAGGATGATACAAGAGCAGAATCTTATCAGCTGCCCGAACGGCAGGTCATAACAGTAAACAACTTAAAAGTCGTGTAGAAGAATTCTGTGAAGAGTAAGTTCTGCTTAACCTTATTAATAATGATGGCATTAATATGTGTTTGTTTGGATCACAACAACTTTATTTAGCCTATTACCAAACATGTGATCGATGTTAAGTAAATCGATATTTATTATGTATTAATAATACTTGTTAATGTCCCCCACATACATATTGGAATGGATATATGTGTTTATGTGTTTAAATGAAGGATACGACGGTGCATCATGTCACAATGATGAATGGTGTAGAACTGATAAAAATCTTACATGTTCTTCATCTTATTTATGTGGTGAGTTTGTACACTGATTTATTTTCAATTACTACCATCTAAAAGATTCCACGTGAATGAACCGTTCTCAAGACCAGGTCATGATTCTACAGCGTTTATTTTGACATTTAGAACAAATACCGACCTCATCAACAGTGGTTACTTCAACAGTAATAACAAGTAATGAGTTTTATTTACTATTTTTAAACTCAAGCATTAGCTTTCGAATTTAGGAGAGTAACGGTTAATGGGGTGATTTTTGAGTTGAAGTTGGTTAATATCAGTACAGGTAGAATAGTATAATGCCTGCTGTATCATTTCTTCATTAAGGTCACTGGGACCTTACTGCAAGCATGGCTACAACACGCTACGGCCATACTGCAACTCTGCTGAATTCGGGCAAAGTTCTTGTCGCTGGTGAATTGACGACAAATAACCCACGAGGATTTGTAAACTCAGCAGTCGCCGATACATTGCCATGCAAGCGTTGATAATGTCACCTATCGCAATATCGTCATTGTTTACTGCGATAAATTCTACGTCGCGAGCTATCAGATGGTTCCGATAGATTGCGATGCAAGTTTTTACTGCGCTCTCTCTATGATTTATCACGATGTTTCATTCGATCACAATAAATATTTATCGATCAACATCGCGATACTGATTCGTATTGCGTTAAATTGTAGAAATATCTGAATAGAAGAAGTAGTTAGATAAATCTTAATGCCTTTTTATCGGGATATCCCACGATATGCATCACTTTCGCGATATCCTGCTGCTTATCATGATACAGATGAATAAGGGAATAAGGCGTACTGAATTTTTTACAGTGTTTTAACGCAACCCCAAGTCTATCGCGATATGAGCGTGAATTAACGTCATACTTTTAAAAAGTATTAAAATACAGACAGAAGACACGTTAACTACATTAAAATAAAGTAGAAAAACGGTGAAAAACGCAGTTATTTTAATAGTTTTTTTAAGGATTAATTTTTTATTAATTTCTCCTTATTAAGTGTAAGTGTCTCTTCGTACACGTACCACGGTTCATTTTTGTTTTCTATTTCGACTGAAGAATGATAAATCATAGTCAACAAATTTTTAACTGAAAGCTTTTTTGAGAGTGTACGTCTTTCTTTTTTTTAACACAAAACATGCTCGTCAATTACTTTATTTCGATAAAGTAGCTAGCTCATTATCACGATAAAGATTGCTTATCGGTAAATCGTGACAATAACATTATGGCAATAAAAAGGTTACTTTGCCCGATAAATTATTTATCGCCGTAACTGCAAAAACTGCGTGATGACCTCTATAAAACAAGCACTTATCGCGATAAGTGTATCCAAAATGTCCTCATGGGAAGTTCGTCTAACGACCCTTAGAATTCCTCAAAACATTTAGTCAAACTGATGCTTCCTTTTCTAGATACTGAATTTTCAAGAAAATTCGATCTTTTCTAATATATAGTCGTTTTCATAAAATCTATTGTCATCAGTAAGCATTGATTGACCAAATTTCAGATCAAAAGTCGTTCATTCGATTTTCTGAAAACACAGTGCCACAGGCTAAAAAAACAGAAAAACGACCATAATTCAGAAAGAAAGACCTGTGTGTACAAGTCTTTTGAGGGTGTCCTCATACTTTCTCAAGGTGTACTGGTGGGCAAAATATCGATTCGAAAGGCGTCCGGCGCTTGGGAAGGTTTAGGAGGTGGACAGTTACCGTTAGTGTAACGGTAACGCTTGAATTGTTACCGTTACTAGTAAAAGTAACGAATAAGGCGTTACCGTTACGGTAACGGGTAATGGTCGTTACGTGTAACATTAACGGTTTGACTGTACTTGATACAGTGGGCAATTTTGACTTGGCACATGAACATGTGCTAGAAAAGTAGCACAAAAATCTGTAAACACTCTTGTTATAGGTTTTCGAATGTGCTGTTTTCAGCGGCGTGCTTTTCAGACTTTCGAAGTATGTTTGCACTACTTTTCCAGAGACAGGATTTCTCGAAAACCTGTACAAACACACCTTCATAGTTGGAAAACCATGCCCTTGAAAAGACTATCTACGAAAACCTGTAACAACGTTATCGTTACCGGAGTAACGGGGGTAATGCTAACGAGGAACGGTCCACTCTCTAGAGAGGTTCCCTCGGACACAGTTATTATATTTCTATTAAATTTTTTCTCAAAACAATATTTCCGTTTGTCTTATCATTGCAAAAACTTCCCAGGAGGTCATTTTGGATACACTTATCGCGATAAGTGCTTGTTTTATAGAGGCCGTCACGCAGTTTTTGCAGTTACGGCGATAAATAATTTATCGGGCAAAGTAACCTTTTTATTGCCATAATGTTATTGTCACGATTTACCGATAAGCAATCTTTATCGTGATAATGAGCTGATTTATCGAATTAAAGTAATTATCGCCGTAACTGCAAAAAGTCTGTGACGGCCTCGATAAAACAAGCACTTATAAATGTATCGAAAATATCCTCCTGGGGAAGTCATGTATCCATGCACATGACGGCAATATTCGTTCTTATGAAAACAGATAGCCAACAACAAAAAATACAAGGCTTCGACAGTTAAAAAATGAAGCAAGGTTTTCAGCTTGGGATTTTACAGAATATTGACTAGAAATTAGTGTAGGTTGTGTATTAGTGTAGATAAAGCATTAAACAAATTTATTCTATTCAAATTTTCAATTTTCTGCACGTTATGTTTCACAATTCTTCATATATAACCAAAATAGGAACTATGTGCTTACTACTTTTAAATAAAGTATCGATCCTTTTTGATGTTACATTGAACATTATGAAATTTTAGTGCGCGTTCCAAAAACAATGATGCATTTTTGTAAGCATGTATAGCTTTCTATTTTTTCTCAGAATTCTATAGCTCCGTTAATCTTGTGAGTCCTCAACTTACTGCGATGCGTGAGCTTCTGGGATGTACTGAATTTTTTTGAATTTTCAACATCTGGCTGAGGCATATATGTGGATGTTTCGCCAAAGTTTAAGAAAATTCCGTAGGTCTTTGGTTTTAGCTGTCACTGTTACCAGTTCTTGTTCTTTTGAGTTTAATTCCCATTGGATAATTTGATCGGCTTTTCTTTCGTCACTGGTGAATACCATGCATTCAGTTTTAAAGCTCATTTGCCGTAAGTGCTTAATAATCGTACTCCGGCATTATGAGAAGGGTTTTCATTTTCACGGTTCAGATCGGTGACAATACGAAATGTGTCTGCATTTCTCAAACGCTGTGCGAATGGAGATCGAAGAAATGACAGATTGTAAATGAAGATAATCAATGTGGAATGAGGTAAAACTAAAACTTCATCTTCTTCTGGGAAATTAGAAAATTGTTGAATAGGACGACCAGTTAACGAATAGATCTGAAAAAATGTATTCCGATTCGCGAACCCACCACTGGCGACTTTGCTACCTTTTTTCGAACTACTAAATTGAATCTGTGTGATCACACAGTCAGACGCATACCATTTTAGTTCATCGTCGGTTAGGTCGCATGAACTTGTAACATAACCCCCGTAATCCCATGTCATCAGAACCGCTAAAATACCGCCGGTTACCGCAGCGGTCACCGCCGAGTATAGTGGGCGCTTAACCTAATGGACATGTGAAATTACCGCACGGTCTACCGAACCACGCGGTATACCGGTCGGTTGTACCGGCGGTATCAACCGGGATTTTATCACTGTGAGCAAACAGTACAGGAGTTCGAATCTAGTTCTCAGCTTTCTTTTTTTTGCAGTGCGCATGCAACGCAATGAGGTCTCCAAACGGTAAAAACTTGGCTCAAGTCAAAGTGCAAACTTCGACGGGTCCCTATAATGTGAAAGAGAAAGTTTAATCTGAAAAATAATCAAACTTTTTTGACTTTTCTGTGTTTCTTATATAGACTGCCAACTGCAAAACAAAAAGGTGATTGTGTCAAAACAGTTTACCGAGGGTTTTTTCTTGTACCGCGGTCTGAAAACTACTGTGTGGTAACCGTCGGTAGAAGAAAAGGCCGTCGCTAAACGGTCGTTATACCGAACAGTGGGGTTAACCAGCGGTAATCTATAGACCGGTCGGTAACCGGCGGTATTACGAAAAAAAGTGCGACATGGGATATGGAATATGTGATAAACCTTTCACCAAATAATAAAGGATAATAGCTGCCTCGGTCAGTTCTAGTTTTTTTAGCTTCATCAATATTCTGCCCATTTCTATGGCGAGCAATAAGACTAGCTCCTCGATTGAGGATTTCGCTTCTTGTGCCCGTATAGAACGAAATGACAAATGATACTGCTTGGGTCTCATCCGGTGACAAGCCTTTCTCGCGAAAGTATGGAACTGACTGTTGAGTACGTCGTTCGTGTTGAAACATCGCTTTCTCTGGATCCAATTCCTTTCTTGTTTCATACTTTCGACAAACAGTTTTCAGCTTTTCAAATGACGCGTTCCTTTTGACTGCCTCCGTGAGGGAAGGATTGGAATTGTCTTCGTACACAAAATGGCTCTCGCGCTCGTCGTTTAGACGTTCAGCGTCTGCATTCAAGTTCACGTGCTCAAGGATACATTCCATTTCTTCGGAGTTCAATACGGTGAACTCGGCACTATCTTCTGCTGTTTTTTCGATTCGATCTTCTCGAGCAGCAACCAACTTGTCCAGCATTTTAATATGCGCACGTCCTTGTAAATGACCGATCAAGATCATATAACAATCATGTCGCAAGCGAAGTTTGGATGAAGCTTCTAACGGATGTATGAGCATAAATCTTTGAGAATAACATCTGCACTTCGAAATGTTCTTTCTACCATTTCGGTTCTATTAATCTGGAATCCAGATCGCCAAAATGCTCAGTCATGTTCGCAACATGGCTAAACAACGGTCAGCGCAAAGAAAACAATTTTTCGGACCCTTATTGTAAAAAAATCGCCAGGTCACTGGAAACTGCTTTTAGAATGGCTTTTAGAATAGGTGTGAGAAAGGAGATAGTTGTCTGCGGAAATACTTTATTCTGAGCGAAAAGATTTGTTTACTTAGCAAATGAAACTTAGAAGTCATAGAATAAAGAAGCAAATACTGTCACTTGGCTGTCTGAGATGATTGAAACACGTAGCATTGTTAGGGAAGCCGACAAAATTCGCATCGGTGAATTTATTCATCGGTGAATATTTTCAATCAACTCACCGCTAACTGGATTGAAAAGAAAATTGAGAACAATATTGATCAATCTGCCTGACAAAAAGACTATGGAAGTATCGTATAACAGAAAGAACATGTAAGCATATATTCTTTTCTGTACTGTATAATGAATTTTTTTCATATCTGCTACTACGTATAGCTGCATCAATAGATCATTATGTTATGCATACATCAGAGACCGAACCCGAAACGGTTCAACCAAACGTGAGTCGAACGTGAATTGGCCCGACCCGAACGGACACGAAACATTTTTCACTGTGATCTGAAGTACCTAGGCAAACATCACCTATGGGGAAAAACTAGATGTATTTCGTCTGTAATCGGGCAATGCACGACTAGTTGTTATCTAGATTACTAGTTGGAAAAGGGACTTTTAACTAGATGAGTCTGCATGTGCAACTAGCAATAGTTAAATCGAGCGATAGGTCGATAGTTACAACTAGATAAAATGTAGCAATCGCCCGATTACTAGATCTTCACTATCATCACTCAATAGTTGCAATCGATTAAAAATCTAGTAATCTAGATGAATCGGGCGATACTAGATTTTCTTTTGACGCTTGGATATAGCCGAAACATGAAAATGTTTTCGTACACATTCGTAAAGAAACACGTCTTTCCTACAGAAAAGTTATCTTGATCAGATTGTTTTGAAATTTTTTCAAAGTAATGGTCAGATTCCTTACGATTTCTGGAATTTTTTCCTTTTATGAGTGGAAAAGTTTGGATAATTCAGACAGTTTTCCTTATATCGACCTGAGTTTGCACCGAAACGGGTCAACCAAACGTGACTCGAACCCGAACGTAAGTTGACCCGACCCGAATCAATATCTTTTATCTGGACCCGACCGGACTCGACCCGACCCGATCCGTTTCAGTCTCTGGAATACATAGAAAGGAGAAAAACTGTCAAGAGTACGTGAATCGCAGATGCGCGCTATTTGCAGAATAATCTGCTTGTACATATAACTCAAGATGTGCTTCAAGAAAAAATGAAAAATTATGGAGCTTCTGTTTACCGTTATTATATTTCAGTATCCTGTCCTGCGTTTAAGAGTTCAACTGATCAGGTTATTTCGGACTGCATTTGCTTCAGAAGGCTAAAATGTGTCCCTTAATTCGCATATTCATCTTTGTAACTATTTTCTTTTCTGTAAGAAAGAGTCAGAAAACGATAAATTGTCAATATGTGTGTATGAGTATCGGTCGCATGATAGCGGATACACGGAACAAAAGACGGAGAGAAAAAGAAAAAGAACTCAAAGCAAACATCATCAACACAGTATTTTTCACTTGGTATTTTTACTATACATTATATAGTCAATCAGTGAAATATATCCAGCAACTATGTATAAAAGCTACATTAAAGCTGTGGATAATATTATACAATCAAAATGTACAAAGAGTGCCTGTTATGTTGAAGGTTAGCGCAATTGGCACATTGATAGCTGACACTAAGAAGTTTTTGCCACCTCGGAAGGCAATCAACTAGAGCTTGCCACCTTCTGCGTTACTGCTGCATTGCTGTATCATAGTATTATGGAGAAATGTGTCAATAGCTCTAGTTGATACCCTTAGCAGGTGGCATAGCTTCGTATTGACACCTCCGGAGGCGGCAACAGCCTTTCAGTATATTAAAATGCATTCAAAACGTACCACCCTAGCGCACTGTGAAAGAGTTTACGATTCTACAGACGAACCGAAGCTTGTTCAACTATTCCCGCTTGCCTCGCTTTTTTCTCTGTTTGAACGACAAAAAACTCACACAATTCCTCACCGTTTTAAAGCTACCCGCAGTTTAGTGGCGCTACTAGAC